GGGGGGGTTACACCTGAAGGTTGTCTCGCTTATTAGTCAAATTTTACCAAATTTCACACATAATTATAACAAGCATACTAATGAGTTTTAAAATCCGCAATCAAATTTGAGAAAAGTTTCCTTTCCATGGATACGATGGCCATATTGGATTTTGTTGACATGTCTTCAGTATGAATACCGCACCTATTTTTCTTGGAAAAAGATTGGGTTTTTTTTGTTTGTTGTTTTTTTTGCATGCATGTTAGTAAACACTAGATCTACAAATTCGTTTGTTGAATTTTTCCTAAACAAATTAGAATTTTTTTCCTGTAGTAATATTCAAGTTTTCAAAAAGCCTTGAAAATTCACACTCCAGACACCACCAACAAATATCTATTCCATATATAAAACATTCAACAGACCATTTTTTTAGTATTACATCTTCTCTTCATTCTGAGAAAATTTCCTGAAGATTGGAAGAAAATTGGTGGAGTTTTTAAACAAAAGTAGGCCTATATAGAAAAACGGGTGATAAAGAAAAATAAAAGATTGACTTTATGAGGAAACGAGGGCGACAAACAGGCTGGTATGGGGAGCAATACGACTTTAGGGGGTTCTTATGCGATGAAATAGTTGTAAGACAGGTTGAAAAGGCTAAAAATGCCTAAAACTCACAACCAATAATTATGAGTCGAATTGGGACTCAAGGGGTGTAGCCCCCCCCCCAATCGCCGGGCCGTAATACCTAAAATGTAGCTATTTACATAAACATGTGTGTGCCTAAAAAAAGTACCAAAAGTCGGATTTTAACCATTTTGAGTTAAGGGTTGGGCCTAGGACATTCAATGCTGAACACAGTGGTTTTAGAATTTTTGAGATGTCTCAAGTAAGCTTAGTTTTTGAGAGATTGCACATTTTGCTAGGCGGGGTATAAAGATATAATTTTGAGAAAATTAGCTTTTAAGTTTAGAACACATACAAACTTGAAAAAAACCCACCGAGGATTCAATTGTTTCTAAAGTTTTCTAATTTATTCATGGAAAATTCATTTCCAATTCTGCATTCAGTTGACATCAATATTATGATTAGAATTCAATGGTAAAACTTAGCGGGGAAGAGGAAACATGCTCCAAGAATAGATTTTAACACCTTTTAAAAGCAGTTTTCACTATCTTTTTAAAAACAAACCCTACCCTCAAAATAATTCAAAATAAAATATTTAGAAGTCAAATCAATGAAAACTCTTGTAACACGTAGTTAAAAAATGGTGGAACTATCATTTTTTTATGGAAACACATTTTGGTAAAAAAAAGTGAATTTTTGGGGGGGTCAGTATCAGCCTGTAGCTCAAAATGGTCTGTGGCGACTTTTGGTACCTTTCTTTAGCACATACACATAATATTCATCGAGGGAAGAACTCCTCTTACTTACCATGGTCCAAAGGCGAAGAGCTAGAAATGTTCTATGGAAATAGAGACAGAGCGCAACACGATAAAACAACCAACAACAACAAAAACCGGACATATTTTTAAAAAACCAAACCGATAACCCAACAAAAAACGAAAACAGTTAATCCCAAAATAAGTCTTCCACGAGACCAAAAATTTGAGAATAGATCATGACGTGTTAACAGATAATAGATCTAGATAAATACATGTAAAGCTCGCATGAACCAAGACACCCCCCCCCCCAAAAAAAAAAAAAAAAAAAA